TCTACTTATGATTAACGACCACTATGGAATTTGTTACTCTTGGACAGATCGCAATCTTGCCGGGTGAATTGAGCCGCGGCTGATCGAGTCGCCGGAATACAGTGATAGGGACGTAGGCCGGTCGTCCGATCCACAGAAATCCCCTAAATTAGAGAAGAAGCAGACCACGCCCAGAGGAAAACGGGACCAAAGATGAGCATAGGTAAGATTTTCTTTATTTTTCTGTTTTTTTGGATAACCCTAAATGGCATTATCGCGGTTCGACATCCAACCAGCCTCTTCGCCACACATTAGCACACATTCCATCAAACCCAAATCAGCCGACCCTTTGAAACAAATCTAAAAATTGTTGCAAGCCATTCAAAAAAAAGTCAGCCCGATATTAGCGTTAACTTGTATATTATAGTTGTACGTATCACTGTAATAAAATGATGAATTAAACAAAAAAATTCCAACGAAAATATAATTCCAACGGCAATTACAATAGATATTCCAATGTTATTATTTTCGTTGAAATTTGTTGGAAAATCCAACAATAGTATTCCATTGGAATTAGCTCTTCATTGAAATTAGCATTGAATTATGGCGATTCCAAAATTTAAATATGGGTGGTAATAACAATTTGAACGGAAATAACATATTTCAATGAAAGTTCATACGGAATAAACCTGTAGGAAAATGCATGATTGTTGGAATCATTAAATTACAACTAAAATTTAAATAGAAAACTCATTCAATTGGAATATTTTCGTTGGAATTTTCGACGGAATCATTCTAACGGAAGTTATATCATTGGAATATTCGTTGTAATTTCTATAGGAATATATTACCATAGGATTGTCTGTTGGAATTAATATATATTTTTTATTATATCTTATAAATTTTTTTATTTAATCATAAAACGAATTTATAATTAATCGCCTGAATATTTAATTTAGTTTAATTAATCGCCTGAATATTCTTTTAAATCTTTATCCTAATCACCTTAAAACTTTTAATCTTTGTAAAAATTGTTGAACTTTAAGAAAATAAATATAATTATTAGTAATTAATTATTATAGTTGTATAACTTACATAAAATTTTAGTAGTTAATCACAGTAAAAATTTAGAATAATTAAAAGCCTGAATCAAACTTAATTATAAGATAGCTTGTAAACACACCTATAACTTCGCAACAAACTTAATTATAAGATAGCTTGTAAACACACCTATAACATTTTTCGCAAGTAATACACGTGAACATATAAAATGCATAAATTATTAATTTAGCAACACCAATGATATTATAAAATGCACGAAATTTGTGCGAGAGAAATAAATACACCCGGCCACGTGACAGAGTCAAACTAATAATATTACGATGTTATGTTGAGCTTAATTATTAATTTTCGTGACACAATCTATGGCTGACTATACAAATGTTTGATTCTGTTGATGTCATCGCTCCTCACAGCACCATGATCACCATAGTCATAATACATGATAGCCCCAGGAAAATTGGAGTGACCAAGATCGACCGCATGCCCGATCTCGTGCACCGCAACCGTCACTATGTCGAATGATTCAGACTGTGATCCGTCCACTCATCTTTCGGATGAGTCAAATGTTACCCATCCTTGGGTGCAAAAGCTTGAGCAAGGGACCTTCTCGACCCATTCATGCTTGAAAAATATAGAGTTATGTCGCTATAAGTGTCTTCATTATCTTCTATAAAATTAAAAAATGTGGCTTTCTTCCATATGTTGAAGGCAAGACGCGCCGAGCCTTTAAATTTCTCGGGGAACCCTTTGTGGAACCCATAGTGGAGGACATCAATGTCCCACTTGGCATTCCACACAGTATCTTATAGTGGGTTGTGCCGAAGTTAGTCGATCCAGACTCTTTAAAATCCCGACTGATGATAGCTTCAGTGAGGTCTCTGGAATGGGCCCACCCGATTGTCCAGAGCAGAGCAGAGACAGTATGAAGAAACTTTGACATTGTTTTTTCTTTTCCTTATTATTTTTTTTATCGGTAAATGTAAATTTATAGATTAAAAGTGAAGTTCAATTTAAAACAAATTGTTGTTATTTATGCTCAATTTATACTCCAATTGGTATGATGTTGGAAATAGTTGGTTCCTAATTAGCTATTATGCTCCAATTGTATGATTGTTGTTATTTGAATCATCAATCTAGATGGTCTGTATTGCAATTAATTTTTTCATTTCACCAACACATTTTTGTTGTAATCAATCTTGATGGTTATAGTAAATAGTGTATTTTTCAGTTGTATACACATTTTTTTTTTTTTATTGTAATACATACATACATTCCCTATTTCAGTGATTTATATTCCCTATTTCGTATAGGCACTACAACAAAAATGACTTCTTGCAACATAAAAATAGTGACTTTTTAATCTATATATATATATACATATATATATATATATATATATATATATAAAATAAGAATTACTATTTACCAAAAATAGTAAGCAAAAAAATCTGCCAACATTAATTGCATACCATTTCGGGCAAGTTTTGTTTTTATTTTTTATTTATTAAATGAGAAACATTTAAATATGCCTTCAATCACATATACTTAGTTTTGGTAACCAAATTGCTCAATTTTGGTACAAATAATGCATATCAATATTTATTTAATTTAGGCAAAAAAACTTGCAAGTTCATAACCCATAATAATTGTGCGCAATTCATGAAAATCAATGATATCACATAATTAATTGTCAGGTTTGTATGTTTTCAGCCGAGTAGAATTTTAAAAGAAAAAAATCATTTGGATGCCAAAAAATTTTGTGTAACAAAATAATTTTGTCGATAAAAAAATAACAAATCTACTGACACACACTCAAATTCCAAGAGTTCTTTTGACTAATCGTAAACACCAAAAAAATCTGAACATAAAAGTACAAAAATCGAACATAAAAACCTTAAAATTAAAAATTCCACATTTCTTTTTCGGGCAAAACAACTAGAATTAACAAAATCTACCGGCGCACACTCAAATTCGAAGGATTCTTTAGATTAATTGTAAAAACCAAAAACTTGAAACACAAAACTACAAAAATTGTAAATAAAAACCCTCAAATTGAACAGTCCATATTTTGTTTCGTGCAAAACACCTAAAACTAATTTAAAGCATTGATTAAATGAAACTAAAAAAGAATATGTATTTATAAGATCCTCAGTGTTAGAACAGAAAAGTTAGAAGAATATCAATGAAAAAAGACGAAAGAAGAAGCTGGAAGCGGCGAAAAATGAAGGATGAAACGAAGCCCTTGGTCCGATAATTTCACTATTTATAATATGTTCAGTGTAATCTAAACCGTCGTTTTGCGTTGACTAATCTGGATCATTGGATTATTTTTTCTGTTTTGTTTGGGCTGATATGAACTTTCGGAGCCAACATTGTAAATTGGGCCAATATGAACTTTTTGAAACCCACATTTTTAAAAAACATTCCTATTAAACAAGTCCAACATGATTAATATAAATAATTACACGTATCTTATAATAAGTATTTGTTAGGTTTAATTATAATCAATGATCGGTGCTTTATTATATAATTTGAATTTAAATACAAAATTTTCTTTTGAAAAAGACGAAAATAATAAAGTTCCGTGCATCGCGTGAGTACTGTACTAGTAAGTGTAATTAAAACTAAAATTAATATGACGCTTTTTAAAAAATGTAACAAAAATAAAATAATGTTGACGCATTTTAAAAAATGTAATCAAAATAATGACGTGTTTTAAAAAAATGATGGCATAATATTGAGACACTTATTTAAAAGTGTTATTAAATTATGACATTTTATATAAAAGTTGTCGTAATGTTAATTTATTGCGACATTTATTTGAAATTGTAATTAAATTGTGACATTTTGTACAAAAGTGTCACTGTGTTTACTTATTAATTTGTACAACGAGTTTGGGAAATTTCTGCCCTAATCTTTTACCTTCGTATCGAATCTGCATTTCCCACCCCGTCTGGACGCCGTTGCCATGCGATTTTCATCTCTTGGATCGACCGCCAATCAGGATGATGCAAATCCTTGATCCAATCTGGACTGCCAATTGACCACAGTCAGGATGATGCAAATCCTTGATCCAATTTATGTTTTTGTTTATTGTGTTTCCGCCGCTTAACTGCTTAACGTTTCAAGTGTCGTTTTTCCCGTAACTAAATTGTCTATCTATATCGTGGCCTCCATCAACTCTATTTTTTCCCTCCCTTTCAGATATGTTGTACCATGGAAGAAGTTCTGTAGGCCGCAGGTATCGTCTTCTTTCTGAATAATTTTATATTTTTTTAGTGCACAGTAAATGTTGGACCTTTAAATTCGCTTTATGGAGTACCAAGTTCTAATTTCTATCACGTAAGCATACGGGAATTTAAATTCGCTTTGTTGGCATTCACTCTGGTGTGTATGGTTTCGTTAGAAAAAAAATAATAAAAAATATTGATCAGTTTTTGTGCTTTGTTATTTGTCTGTACAATAGTTCTCAAATACTCATTTTTCTATTTCTCTCTTTTATTTTCTATTAAGCTCTTAATTTGATTCAATAGGGAGTAAATTTGAAGAAATATGAACTACTCTGCTCACTGTGAGTATGCTCAATACATTTGGGTTGTGTATGTAAATAACACTGAAAGGTTAGGTTGATTTGGATTCTCCCTTTCAAAGATTAATAAGGCAACGTCGTGTCTTCTCCATGATGTGAAACGTTGAATGACACGGCCTTGACGCCTCAAGGTGCTGAGGAGAGGCAAGCATATAAAAGGCGCTGCCATTGCGCTTGCCTCACGCGTGGCAACTCCTAGAAGAGTGTAATGACAAATGAAAAAGAAAGTTTCTGATCAAATTGTTTGCTCTTACTTATTTTTCATGATTTTCTTTGAATATTATATGATGATTTGCAGGGATTCAAATGTAATAGTATTTCACTAATGTGGCAGGGCATTGATTCCCAGGCACACATCTCCTTTTATTTTGTTTTGATTCTCACCTTTATGTTTTTGTTGCTTAATCCTCTCAATATGTAGACATAGACCTTCTTGTTGTAGGTAGGGTGATAGGAGAAATATTGGAGCCAAAAGATTTATTGGACTTAAGTTATTTACAGCAATAGAGATATTGTCAATGGGTGTGAGTTTAGGCCATCATAAGTTGTCAACCAGCCTAGGTTGAGGTCGGTGGCGATGTTCTTCGTACTTCCATACCCTGATAATATAAATATTTTATTTATTATAAACGTAACATATGAAAAATAATTTAAAATATTTAAAGTTGAATGAGAATATGTGCTTTGATCGAGCACGATGGCGACATGTGATCCATATAGCAGACCTCACTTAGTGGGATTTTAATAGCTTGTTGAAGATACGTAACATATAATGATCCTTATATATTTTTATTTATTATTTATTTTTAGCATTTTTGTATGCAAAAAGATGATGTACTGTGTGTGTTTCTCTTAATTTCTGTACAAGTTTAATGTTGACTCCAAAACTTTACAATGGTTCCAAATTTTATTTTCTATTTTGTAGGCATACATTTAATCTGAATTGAAGCCCTTCAACGGGGTTTCCCTTTCCTACGGTTTAGGAACTTCCTTTGCAGGTAAAAGTATTTGGTATTCATAATCAGTTAATCTCATAGCAATTCAAAATTTTAACTTACTTGGTGATTGTTTTATTGTTGAATATGCTTGAGTATTCTAACAGTCTTGGAACAACATGATTCTTTGAGCTCAAACATATGCTGGTAAGTAATTATAAATATTTATTTTTATTATTTCATCTAAATATATGTTTTGGACTTTTTACAAATTTTCTCCCTCCTTCTCAATTTTGGCATTATAGGTCTCAAATAATAAATTGCGAGCTTAATTCTTGTTTCTTCATATGATAGTAATTTAGTTGAATTTAAGTTACGCAATATCTTGTTTTTTGTAATCATTTAGCAGCGTATGATGTACTGTTTAGCTTTTATTTTTTCACTTAAATGGTTTTGATGAATAGAAATTGATTAATTTTTTTATTTTTTTTTGTTATTTTGTTTTGCTTGCTATGGAACATGAAGATCATTGATCCAAGAAGCATACGGAAGCACGCGTATTATCATATTTTTTATTCTATGTTTTTTCATCCTATTTTTGTATTTTTTTTTTACAATAATGTGATTTCTCTTTCAACTATATTATTGAAATTTGATCATTTATTTATTGTGTGCATGTTTATTAAATTATTGTTGTGTAATATTATTGTTTCATCTAAATATCACCTTGAAAATGTCATTAATATCGAGACACGATGATGATTAATGTTGGCAAATTTCAATAAAACCATCACCAAAATTTGTAATAACGAAGAATATAAAAAGCGTCACGTGCTGAAAAATTACAAAGCATATATGTTGTGTTGCCAAAATTTGTAATAGTGACGCACTTAGAAATGCGTCACGTATTGATCATTACTGACGCAAGCGTCTTGAGTCACAAAATTTCACAAAGTGACGCATTTAAAAAAGCGTTGTGTGTTGAAAATTACCTACGCATAAGTCTTGTGTCACGAATAATTTCATGACATCAAATTTAGCAACACAACTCGTGACATTTTTTAAAGTGTAGGTAAAATTTTTATGACTTTAATAAGCGTCAGTAGACAAAAAAATAAATGTCACTAAGTACTTTGTTTCTTGTAGTGAGGAAAAGTGGTATGATTCGGATTGGATATTACAAATAATAAATTAGATATAAACTAAATACAAAATCTAATCAAAATTATATACAATACAATTTTTCTTATGTGCTATTAAAACACTATTATAGATGCCCAACTTACACAAAAAATAAACCATACAAAACATATACCTCCGGCCCTATGGTCAATTTCTTTGCTGGTGGTATTTTGTGTAGGTATCAGGTAATTGGTCGAGGCTACCTCCGGCCCCTCTTAATGGGTATTTGTGTAG